AAAGAGAGAATTTGTTTGATTACAAAAATCAAACTCGAAATAAAAATAAATAAAATAAAACCACAGATTTTATTTGTTACAAAAACAAAATAAAATCTGATTAAATAAACAAATAAAAACAGAATAAAATTAAACAACTTACTTGGTTAATTTATTTGAATAACTTTTCTAATCAAGTCCAGTGTTTAACACTGTGTCCTTAAGACAGATTCGTCCTCTCCACGGTGCTTTCAGAATTTGGACGTCTATCTCCCAGGATGAAATGATCTTACCACAAACAATAGCAGCACTACAAATTGTTTGCCTTACGAACACACTAAGTGTTTACACTCTCTTTCGGAAATAAAATGCAGCAAGATGAAGAATATAATTTGCAGAGGATGGAGTACGAAAATCTTGGAATGTTAGTGTGTTCGTTGTGCAAACAATTTGTAGTGCTACTATTGTTTGCTATTGATAATTTTATCCTGGGAGATAGACGTCCACATTCTGAAAGCACCGTGGACAGGACAAATCTGTCTTAAGGACACAGTGTTAAACACTGGACTTGATCAGAAAAGTTATTCAAATAAATTAACCAAGTAAGTTGTTTAATTTTATTCTGTTTTTATTTGTTTATTTAATCAGATTTTATTTATTTATTTTTTATTTCGAGTTTGATTTTTGTAATCAAACAAATTCTCTCATTTTCTCTATTTCTTTTATTCTTATTGTTGTTTTGTACACAACAGAATTTAATATTTTTAAATACAGTGAAGATTGACTAACAGTTATTTGGATCAGTAAAACGTGGGTTGTTTTTTTGTTTCAATCTTATCTCTCTGTAAGGCTATATATAAGCCAATAGCTTGTTTTGAATAAGATGGCATTTTCTAGATATTTTTCTCTGAATTGCTTTGTGCTTAGAGTTTACAACAGTAATCACTTCCAATTTTAGTTAAATGCAATTAGTGGTGTCTTTTTTTGGGGTGACAAATATTTCGTTATTTATTATAATTACAAGGAAAAAAAAATTTAATGTTGTGTATTATTTAGAACAAATTAATGCATTTAAGTATAAATGTTTCAATGATAATTGTGAGTTAATTTGTAAAACCATAAAAGTAAGTAACTGATTGGTAAATTTAATTAGATATTTTTTATTACAATTACCTTAATGATTCTTAAATTAAAAAATTTATTGATTAAAGAAAAATGCACATCATTATTGGGTTCTATAACAATCTTATAATTTACAGTAATAATAAATACTCAAATATTAATTTTACCAAAAGCATCAATGCGTGATTTACATTATTTTGCTAAAAGAAAAAATAAAGAGTAATACTAACTAAATACTCAATTTTTTTTTATTTATTTATCCAAATACATCAATATGTGATTCACATTAATTCTTTTAAAAGATAAAGCAAGCAATAATATAAAATACTCAAAAATTTACTCAATTTTAACCGAAAAATTCAATGTGTGATTGCTTCACCTTCAATATTAAAATTTTCATGATAAGCTTTTTAAAAAAAGGGAAGGAACCTCAATGGCGAAATTTGCCAAATTGTGTGGTGTTGTCTGTGCTTGAGGAACAGTATCTTCTGAAATTGGCAAAATGGTTGAGGTTGAAAATAAAAGCTACAACAGTTTGATTAAGAAAATTAAAGTGAGCAACTTTAGGAAGAAAAAGGCCAAAAGAAAAAAAAAAGAAAAAAAAGAAAAGGAAACAAACCTGTCAATGGTTTGAATGAAAGAAAACCTTTGAAAAGTTTGTGGAACAATATAAAAGTAAAGTAAGCCTTCAAATTTGAGTTTCAAAATCCGTAATTGGTGTCAATAGAAGGCGGGCAGTTAAGGTGGGTTAGTGTTTTTGCTACTGTGTCCTTTTAATAAGCTTCTGTTTGTATAATAGAATAGATAGAATAGTTGTTTTCTCCGTAGTGATTTTTTTCGTGACTGATATAGTTTGAGACATCCTATTGCTAGTTAGTCTCTCAGCTAAGTAAGCTATAGAGTATGAATACATCATCAAGCACGTCATACTTCTGCATATGTACTGTATCCTATTGTTTTGAGATTTTACTATATCGATGTACTACATGTTTCATAATAGTAAGTTTGAATTTTTTTTTTTTTTTGTGACACAAGAAGTCTCAAAACAGTGCATGGAAACAAACCTGTCAATGGTTTGATTGAAAGAAAACCTTTGAAAAGTTTGTGGAACAATATAAAAGTAAAGTAAGCCTTCAAATTTGAGTTTCCAAATCCGTAATGGGTGTCAATAGAAGGCGGGCAGTTAAGGTGGGTTAGTGTTTTTGCTACTGTGTCCTTTTAATAGGCTTCTCTTTGTATAATAGAATAGATAGCATAGTTGTTTTCTCCGTAGTGATTTTTTTCGTGACTGATATAGTTTGAGACATTCTATTGCTAGTTAGTCTCTCAGCTAAGTAAGCCATAGAGTATGAATACTTCATCATACATGTCATACTTCTGCATATGTGCTGTATCCTATTATTTTGAAATTTTACTATATCAATGTACTACATGTTTCATAGTAGTAAGTTTGAATTTTTATTTTATTTTTTTGTAACGCAAGGAGTCTCAAAACAGTGCATGCTACAAGTAGGTTTCTAGTCTTATATGTATGTATGAACGTGTATATCAATGTATCTATGATACAAAGGGGAAATTGAACAGTTACAGGAATAATTTGAGTGATGATAAATGAACTAAACTATAAAAAATAAATTTGTTTACGGGTAATTTTTGGTATAAAAAATAGATAGAATTAGAAAACAGGTAGACATTAAAAAATAAAAATAAAAATAAAATTTTTTTCTAGGGGAAATTACAAAAAAAAAAAAAATTCCAAATTTTGACACTTCTAACAAAATTAATCCTAAAATTTTAATTTTATTAATTTAAATTCCAATATTTTAAATTATTTTCAATCTAAATGATTCGCCTATTTTTCTTAGTAAAATCGACGGTGTTATAATTGATGTATTATTGATTGTTGTATTGATGTAAATTACAGATGGTGAGGTACTCTTTATATAGGGGATGTAATAGGTGAAGTGAAGTGGTAGGTGTAGTAGGTGATGGTAGTAGGTGGTGGTAGGTGTAGTAGGTGATGGTAAGATGGTAAGTTTTAACAGCCCCCCGCAAACTCAAGGAGGATAGAAACTAACCAACTTGAGTTTGGAGAGAGGAACAAAACAAGAAAATACAGAAAAATAAAAGATGATAGGAGACACTGTATGGTCGTGTCAGACCGTTGGTGAAGGCACTGGGTGGTGGTGTCATAACGTTGTAGAGGACACTGGATGGTGGTGCCATAACGTTGTAGAGGACACTGGATGGTGGTGTCATAACGTTGTAGAGGACGCTGGATGCTAACCGGAATCAATGTCGGGACAGTTTATGGGGTCATGTCGGATCGTTGGAAAAGCTGACCGGAATCAATGTCGGGACAGTTTATGGGGTCATGTTGGACCGTTGAAAAAGCTAACCGGAATCAAATGTCGGGACAGTTTATGGGGTCATGTCGGACCGATGAAAAGGTCGCACCCTCAAAAGGTGTGCCCAATTTGTCAAAAAGCGTGCCATCAAAAGGCGTGCCCAATCCATAAAAAAGTGTGTCGGACATGATGGCGAGGCACGTGAGTGCCTTGGCTGGCGCGCCCGTTTGTCGTTTGGCGTCAAGTGGCGCGCGATGCGCGTGTCTGCCTTGGCTATTTAATCAAGACGAAGGCTGAGGCTGAGGCAGAAGCTGAGACAAAAAAACTGAGAGAAACCTCTGAAAAAACTCTTCCTTTGCTGAGAGAGAAACTCTGTAATACGCTGTAACACTCTGTTGCCCAGAAAATGGCTTCGTCTTCCCGTGGGCTGCTCACTCTCTTTCCCGACCTCAATGAGTCAACAAGAGAGAGAACTGGTGCGGTGGCCAGTGAACCTCAACCAAACACCTCTGTGTTTGCTCCATTGAACTTTCCGATGCGGTCAGTGGAGCAAAAAATGGCGGTGCAGTCGGATGTGGAGGCCAATCAGTATACCTTGAAGTCATGTGTGGAAACCATGACTGCGGTTACAAATTTGTCGAACCGGCTGCAGAGTAGGACAAATGAGGTGCAGCAGTTAAACGCCCAACTGGCTCTGCTCCAACGCATGTATAAGGATGCGCGAGCAGAGATAAGTGTGCTAAAGGCGAACTACATTGATGCTTATAGACTGGCTACTATATATGTTGATAAAATTGTTTGCCTATATGGGGTTCCGGTGTCCATTGTCTCGGATAGAGATCCGAAATTCGTACCTAGATTGTGGAAAGGTTTGCAAAGAGCTATGGGAACAGAATTGAGATTCAGTACTGCATTCCATTCACAAACAGATGGCAATCAGAACAGACCATACAGACCTCGGAAGACATGCTCAGAATGTGTGCTTTAGGTTTTCAAGGGAGTTTGGAGGATTATTTGTCACTAGAAGAATTTGCATACAACAACATGTAAGAAATAATGTATAGAGAAAGAGAGAGAATCAAAAAAACTTCTGAAAATCCTCTGAAAACAACTCTTCCTTTGCTGAGAAAGAAACTCTGGGGTTTTGGGATTAATAATTTTTTTTTTTTTTTTTTTTTTTTTTTTTGAAAAGTAAGGGAATCGAATAATAAAAAAGTATGGAGATAGTGATGAAATGATAAGCATGGTGATGATGAATATATAATAATGAATAAAAATAGAGCACCAATTAAGTTTTATAATAAAAAATAAAATTTGGACGGTGGGACAAAAAGATGGTTTAGAAAAAAGAAAAGAAGGGAGGTGGTGGAATTATGGACCAAAAAGTAGAATAAAAGAAAGTGCACATGGGTTGGCTCCAGAGTTATATTGGTCTCTTCAACCACTACCTCTGTCTCTTTGACCATACATTGATTCACAGGGTAGGAGCTCTTTCAGCAGATCCAGCAAGCATAGTGAGCAAGCTGTTTGCAGTATGGAACTCCACGAAGATCATGTTGTTCTTCTTGGAGACGGTTCGGAGATCAGTGGTTCGGAGGACAGTAGCAGTGTTTTCCGAGAGGGAGCTCGAGAGTGGGTGTTGCCGAGGAGCAACAGAGCAATGTTTTCAGAGTAAGGAAGACGAAGAGTGAGGTTGACCATTTGGAGATCTTTGGTGCCGGAGATGGAAGCGAAGGTGTGGGGACGAGTTCGGATGTCGAAAATGTAGGGTCTCTGGAGCCATGGGACGAGGAAATGGGTTCCTTCGCTGACGGTCTCATCGATGACGCCGCGAAATCGATCGAAGAGGACGGCGCGTTGGCCACCGTCGACGGTGTAGAGGGAGGAGTTGAGGACGGTAGCGCCGAGACCGAGGCCGAACGCCGCCCGGGCTAGGTTGGCGAGGAAGGACATTGCTGCTTGGCTGCTACCCATCTATGGAGGAAATTGTAGAGAGAGAAAGGCCGTGGAGAGGAGAGAGAAAGAGCCAGCATCTTGTTTGTCTTTCGGTTTTCGCCAGAAGAGAGAGAGAATTAGAAAATTTGGGTTTGTCCGGCGGACGGCCAAGGCGAGGCTGCCGCCCGCCGGTGAAGCGGAATCACTAAGTTCTTAACCTTGCTCTGATACCATGTTATAATTGATGTATTATTGATTGTTGTATTGATGTAAATTACAGATGGTGAGGTACTCTTTATATAGGGGATGTAGTAGGTGAAGTGAAGTGGTAGGTGTAGTAGGTGATGGTAGTAGGTGGTGGTAGGTGGAGTAGGTGATGGTAAGATGGTAAGTTTTAACAGACGGAAAAAGAGTCTCTTGGAGTTTAAAGACTAAAATACTTCTTTTCTGTTAGTTTATTTAATGAAAAAAATTAAAAATTCAGAATTTATTTTGTTAAAATAATCAAAGTTTGTGATTTTTTGGATAATTTTCCCTATTTCCTAAAAGCATCCATGAAGTTTTCAAATAAAAATTAGGGAAATAAGAAGATTATAAACAAGTGGAGACTATATATGGTACACACTACTCAAATATGCACCTTATAATTAAAAAATAAAATGACATAATTCTATATTTTCTAAGTCATAATTTAAAATAAAATAAAAAAATCATAACTAAACAACATATGAGATATAACCAAAGATATCATGATTTGTGACTTAACTATTGTCATAAGTAAAGAAAAAATTAATCATAATTATTAAAAAAAATGACATGAATAAGAGTATATATTTGGTAGCTTTTAAGGGGGTATATAGTAGAATTTAGTTCAATAGAAGAAAGAAAAAAACTAGTAATTTATTGTTACAGTCTAGTTCCCAAAAAATAAAAAATAAAAAATAAAAATAAAAATAATTATTATTACAGTCAACCAACCATTCTTAAAGCATAAACTGTAAGCAAAAGTAAAAGAAGTTTCCTTAAAAGCATCACCCAAAAGAAAAAGAAAAAGTTTTATGGGTTTCTTAAGGGCAAATGGATATAAAAACAAACAATTACAGAATCACATTCTAAACCAAAATCAAATACAGAATCTGAGTTGTGTTGGAGTTTTCTCTTTTCATCAATTTTAAATAATAAAATGTATTCAATTATCAAACCATGAAAAGGGGGGGGGGGTGGTGTTTATATAATTCAAAGCTCCATATCTTCTAATGAAGAGATGATTAAAAACAAAATGCACAAGTTTGTTTACCTTTTGACGAAGACTACCAAATTCAAGTATCTTCTGCAAGAGTTTCTGGTTTGCTGTGTATGTTTGTTTGCCTATTTGCTGCCTTCTGTAAGAGTTTCCTGTTTTGCTGGCCCGATTTGCATCACATGCATTGAAGGAAATCAAAGAGGCAAGGAAAAATGGAAGATATGAAAGGCATTTGCCTGATCGAACGACAAAGCAAGTAGGAAAAATAAAATTTGGAAACTTAATCAAGGAGGCAATACTATGAAGCACAAACACCTCTCCGGAGGTGACGTATAAGTGTCGGATACGGACACACTCCAAACACGTGTCGGACATGCTGGAGACATGCTGAGAACACACTGGGACACACTGAGAACCATTTAAAAAAAATAATTAAAAATGAACTTGTGTTTACTATAATAGTATACCAAAGGTTGATAAATTTCGTAAAATTAAATATTTGACTTAAAATAATTATTAAATATTTAAAAATATGATACATAATAAATATATAAAATCATATCTTTCGCACATGTCTCTAACGCGTCGTGTCCTAAATTTTTTGAAATTTGCGTGTCCTTGTCCGTGTTGTGTCACGTGTCCGTGTCTGTGTTTCTTAGCAGGCATACATGCAGTAGAATTAAGAAGCATCGGTCAACAAAAGTGAGAATGCAGAACAAATATATGAGATATGTTTTTGATCTAAATGCATGACCTATTAATGAGAAAAACTTTCTACAAAAGAAATGAATATCCACTCTCAGTGTTAACAATGATATTGCTTTATTCAGTTATGTTTTCGATATTTGTTTTTAGTTGGAATTTTCTGACGGCTATCATGGAAGTTCCTTTCTTTAAGGTCATTGATCATGTTTTTACTTGATCTCCTTTAGATGTCTGTATGGTTTTAAGTAATGCTTTATGCCTTCAATAACATGCATCTGTAAATGCTATTTTTTATTATCTTTTAGCTCCAAATCATAGAGGGTGGCTTTATTATTGTCTTTGTATTTCTCTTGTTGATATTACTGAAAATTATTAGAGCAAATCAGGTAACAGGGCTGTATCTTTTTCAAGGTTCAACTACTAGAAAGAGTGCCACCATTCATGCATATTAATCAAAATGATTTCTGGGGTTGTAAGTCTTTTATCCTCATTCTTGTTTCCCTTATTGAGGATCTTTCTTTTGCTTGCTGACAACCCAAGCACAACCACATTTTTTTTCCTCTTTCTTTTTTCTTCCTCTTTCTTTCCTTCATTGTTTTTTTCTTCTTCATTTACTTCATTTCTTTCTCAATACCCCATGGCTGATTCAGCGCATCACAACCATTGCCAGGATAACCAATCACATTGGAGCAAAACCCCATAAACTCATGCAAATAAGCCACTGTTTTCTTAACTTCATTTGGAGCAACACGATTATGTTTTTTTTCTTCTTTCTTTGTATTTATTGAGTATGTGCAGCCACAACCCCTGTTTGATTGAATAGGCGGTGTTGCGTCTGAGTCGTAGAGTATGGCAGGAATTGGATACTAAATGAATCAGAGGCTCATAAATTTGCAACTAAATTCCCTGGGAAGATGTCACAGATTTTTTTGTGTTGGAATTCTTACTTCCTCTTGGTCTTCTGTTTGGCATCTGACGGTACTACTCCAACACCACTGCCCTGTGGATCAACTCCACAACCGCACCCACAGACTGTTTGTATGCTTGAGACATGCAAACAACGTTTCACCAAAACAAACACATGTTAAAAATACATCATAATTCAGATGAAACAGAAAATCCAGTACAAAATTACACATAAATTTCTTCAACTTATGGTTACCTTCATTCCATTGGTAAATGATATTTTTGGTTATGATTGCCAAGAGATACTAAACCTTGCATCAGTCTCTCTTTTTGACCTCTTTTACACAGAGATGGAGATGCCGAGGGGATGACCAGTGGGTGGAACCGCATACTATGGCGATACTGCCCACTTCAAGTGAGTTCGCACACAAAAATGATCTTTTCTGCAAGGTCTTCTTTTCAAGTGAGATTGCAAAACTAAATGCACACTATTAGATTTAATGTATAGATAAAAAGAGAGAGAATGAATTATGTATTGATTATTGATTGATGTATGTTATTGTGTATATTACAAGGAGATGTGCACTCTCTTTTATAGAGAGGAAAAGATACATAGGGTGCCAATTTGCACCGAAAGCATAAAGCAAATGGGGAACACTCATTATGAAAGCTAGACATAATGATACACTAACAATTATGACTAACACTACTAGATGTACATAATATACTAAAGATACTAATCACTAATATACAATAATAAACTAACAGCCCCCCTCAAACTCAAGGAGGATAGGTACTAACCAACTTGAGTTTGGAGAGAGTAACAAAACAGGAAAGTAAATTGATAAAAGAAAATAAAATAGGATAGGAGACACTGTATGGTCGTGTCGAACCGTTGGTGAAGACACTGTATGGTTGTGTCAGACCGTTGTAGGAGCTAACCAGAATCAATGTCGGGACAGTTTATGGGGTCATGCCGGACCGTTGTAGAAGCTGACCGGAATCAAATGTCGGGACAGTTTACGGGGTGATGCCGGACCGATGTAAATGCATGTGGTGGTGCACCAAGGAGGCGACTTAGGGAGTCTGCCATGTGGTGGCTTGGGTGGTTCGCATGGTGTGTAACCATGCTCACCATGATATATGTATAACCCCCCTCAAACTCAAATAGGTGTGAAGATAGAAACTTATTTGAGGTTGAAATAAAGTGAGTGATAAAGGGGATCAAGACAGTTTACGGGGTCATGTCGGACCGATGTAGCAGACACTGTGTGGTCGTGTCAGACCGTTGTAGAAGACAGTTTATGGGGTCATGGCGGACCGTTGTAAAAGTCGCACCCTCAAAAGGTGTGCCCAATCCCTCAAAAGGCGTGCCATCAAAAGGCGTGCCCAATCTATAAAAAGGTGTGCCATCAAAAGGCGTGCAACTATCTTGGCTTGCGCGCCGGTTTTGTCATTTGGCGTCAAGTGGCGCGCGAGGCGCGGATCTGCCTTGGCTATTTAACCAAGACGAAGGCTGAGGCTGAGGCAGAGACTGAGACAAAAAACTGCGAAAAACCTCTGAAAAAAACTCTTCGTTGTCTGAGAGAGAGACTCTGTAACACTCTGTTGCCTAGAAAATGGCTTCGTCTTCTCGTGGTCTGCTCACTCTCTTTCCCGACCTCAATGAGTCAACAAGAGAGATAACTGGTGCGGTGGCCAGTGAACCTCAACCAAACACTTCTGTGTTTGCTCCGTTGAACTTTCCGATGCAGTCTGTGGAGCAAAAAATGGCAGTGCAAACGGATATTGAAGCCAATCAGTATACATTGAAGTCGTAATTGATGGGTGTAAGTAAGACTCAGTTATGCTGACTCCGGCTCATTTTTTGCTCCAGCGATCAACACGCAAACAACGTGAAAGTTTCAATGGTGTAGCCAAACCAGAGTGGTTGCAGGGGAGACAACTGTAGGACACAAAATGACGGCACCAAGACCCACAATGCAGCAGTTAAACGCCCAACTGGCTCTGCTCAGCGCATGTATAAGGATGCGCGAGCAGAGATAAGTGTGCTAAAGGCGGAAAATAAGAGCTGAAGCGGAAGGCCACCGTGATGTTCCGATTTTGGAGGTCCGCCATATGCTGCAGTGGAGGAGCAGGGAGTAGGATAGTGATCATGCCCAGTGAGTGGGAAACACGGAGGCAACACCAGCAAGGCCGCGCCCAGGCGGAGGCAAGAAAGAAAAGACGCGCGGCAGAGTAGAGAAGAAAATCACCCGCCTGTGGAAGAGGTTGTTTTGTTGTGGGTGGTTTTTTTTTTTTTTTTTGGTGTAAAATGGTGATCGGGGTGAGCCCCGATATGAATAAAATGAGTTTGGTGTGCAGTTCGTCTTCCTTTGCTGCTGTTTTTGTTTTTGTTTTTTTTGCAAAGAAATAATAATGAAAAAAGGTTTCGTGGCCATGGTTTTGTGAAAACCTGCAATGGGTTTGGTATTTGTTGTTGTATTTTTTTTTTTTTTTTTGGTGTTTTAATAATAATAATAAGAATAGATTAATGGCGAAAGCATGTGCCTCGGGGTATTGGAAAGTGAAAAAAAAAATGAGAGAGAGAACCGATTCTGATATGGTGTTTTTTTTTTTTTTTTTTTTTTTTTTTTTTTTTTTTTAAGAAAAGGGAACAAGACCATGTGGGCAGGAGCCTTTGCTGAGGGCAGAGTTTCATGGGAAATTGTTCACCACGAGGTGTATTTGCTTGCATGTGATGGCTAGAGAGATATATGTTGGGCTCGGGCTAGAGAGAGAGAGAGAACTTCGGTGTAGGTGACTTGGTGGGTGTGGCATATACAGAGGAGGAAAGAAAAAGGGACCAGAGAGAGAGGTAGTGGGTTGATTAAAAAAAAAAAAATGGCTCTGGGTCTGTGTCGTGCTGTCTGTATTGGGGTGTGAATGTATGGTGTGTATTAGAGAGAGAAGAGCGAGAGCTAGTGTATGTGTGTCAATCTGTGAGGTGCCGAAAGAGAGAGAGACGGCAACAAATTCTTGTGAAGTGAAAGCTTTATTGAACACAGAAAAAACTGGGATACATGGTCAAGATATGTTCCTTGCACTGCGCATCACCTGAAAGACGTTGATAGAACTTTGGCGGGGCTTCTCAGTGAGTGTGAGAAGACGATGATGAATAATGAGAGTGTGAGTGGGAGTGCGAAGGAGCATAGATCTTGTTGTAGGCGGTTTCGCCGACGAGGTAGATGCCGAAGGCGACGAGAGCGATGCCGAGGCCAGGAGTGGCGTGGCGGAGCTGGTTCGTCAACATCGGGTGCTTCCTCCACTCGTCCCTCCTCCTGAAGAACTCCCCTGTGGGTCCCAATGGAGGAAGAAGATGGCGGAGGCGAGGCCGAAGAAGAGATCGGGGGGGAAGGGGAGGAGGGAGGTAGAGTCGGAGATAAGGAGAGAGAGAGATTGTGGTTGTCTAGTTGGAGTCAAGCTCATGCATGGATCATAAACTGCCATGTGTGGTAGAGATCCGAAGCGGCATGTGGCAACGGGTTCGCCGATGGATAAGCTGGTGACGAGCATGATGAGAAGATGCGGATTGATCGTGGGAAAAATTGATGAAGCATAAGCATGGTTGGGTTCCGGCGGGCGTTGCGCTCTGTGCCTAATTACATGGCTGCAACTGTGTCTGCCAAGGCTCGGATTCAATCGCAGAGTGCGCCGAGGCAGAGAGCAATGACACCAGAGAGAGAGAAACTGAGTTCGGCGAAGAAACGCCTTTCGTTCCCTGTTCCAGGAGAGGCATACACCAATGGAGTTGGGACTAGTGATAGTGATGTTTCATTTGAGTGTAATAACTTGAGGAGTCCAAGTTAGAAGAGCATTTACAGAGAACAGTTTGGGATGGTGCAGAGGCCTAATATGTGCTTTGGTGATGAGGGTTCTTCACCTTCAACTAGTGGTGGTGTTAGGAGGTGGTTGAAATGATGCACTTTTAACTGATTGAATGAATCTTCTATGTGCTTTGGAGGTTTGTATCAGAGTGGCGCAGCATAAGCATGGTTGGGTTCCGGCGGGCGGTGAAGGCAAGGTTGCCGCCCGCCGGAAGGTGAAGATCACCAAGAGCTAACCTATAGCTCTGATACCATATTAGATTTAATGTATAGATAAAAAGAGAGAGAATGAATTATGTATTGATTATTGATTGATGTATGTTATTGTGTATATTACAAGGAGATGTGCACTCTCTTTTATAGAGAGGAAAAGATACATAGGGTGCCAATTAGCACCGAAAGCATAAAGCAAATGGGGAACACTCATTATGAAAGCTAGACATAATGATACACTAACAATTATGACTAACACTACTAGATGTACATAATATACTAAAGATACTAATCACTAATATACAATAATAAACTAACACACACAATTCAAGAAGATCAATGGCAGGAAGGAATTGGATACGTATAGCCATTAGATGGGACGACAATTCCTGAAAGTTCCTGGGATTTTTTATTAGTTGCGTAAAACGTGGAGTTAAGTGGAATTAATGTCTTTTCGTATTTGCTGTTAGCAGTTAATTAAACTGTATATGACAGATTTGTATATGAGTAATTTTGTATAAAAAAATGTCCACGGAACTTCATAAACAGGGATTCACCAATTGGTGTTCTCCCTTTATAGACTAGTGTTTAGTATAGATATAATGAGGTATTGTTTGTAACCTTTTTGGTCTGAGGAGTGAAAACAGGTATAAAGGAATTATGAAATGGAATTATCTGCCTTAAGTAATTCTGGTTATCTTCCCTGGCATTGACATATTATTTTGGTCTTGCAGCCACCCAAATTGTGAGACTAGGAAGTGGATAGTTTTGGGGGAAATAAGGGTTGGTATATTTGTGGAGCAAGATATTTCCGTTGAAAATGAATTGGCATATGATTATAATGTTGAATGGTATGGTGGTGCTACGGTTCGATGTCAGTGTGGGGCACCTAACTGTTCTAAATTTCTTAGGGCAAAGTCTTCTGCTTTCCTGGTGAGTTCAAAGTGATAACTTTTGAAGTCTATATTTGAAAATACATTAACATCTCATTTGACATTCATTCTCCTGATGGAACTTGAGTGATGAAAAAAAAAAAAAATTTGAAAATGAATTTAAGCAAGCTATTAAAAGGCAGCTGTTTATACTAAAGGGTGATGTGTGGTTTTGTGAGTGAGAAAATGTTGTAATAATGTGTCCAATAAAGTTGTAATGTGTAGTCCCCTAAAGGGTCTTGTGTATTTGCCATATACGTAACACTTGGCTGTATGAGTGTCTTGTTATAATTATAATATTTGAATTTTTTGTATATCTGTTTATTCACCTTATCTAGCAGTGAGCTCATTGTCCTTTTTTTTTTTTTATAATAATGTTTTTCCATTTATTTAACAGGTGCATAATCATGTGTTGGAAGACGGCAATGAAAGGTAATGGGTTATGCATTTATTACTCAAAATTTATAGGCAGTTATAGTCCTTTTCACCTACGCTTTGTAATGTTGTATTGAAACTCATTTCAAAATTTGTTACCAAACTTGATTATATATGTATGGTAATTTGTTGAGCACAAAAAGTTGAGGATTCATGTTTACCAAAATGATCAATTGCATAAGGATTTCATGAACAAATTGAATATTTAATTATATGCTAGTGTCTCCATTTTTCCCTTTCCTTTTTGGTGCAATAGTTGTTGCACTAACTCTCTTTATTTTATCATTTTTACAGGTACCTGTGAGCAAAGAAAAGCAGAAGGTGCTTGTAAATCAACCTTCATGCCAATTATAGCAACAAACCCCATTTGGGTGCTCGTGTATTTCATTCTCTGATTGACATCTTATCAGTAGTGATCATTGTACATTTTGAGTACATAAAGCTGCATTTAAATCATCACTTGCTAAGTACTTCAACTTACATAGATGTGTGATTTTTATTTATTTGTTTATTTTAACAAGTAATATGTAAATAACTGAGAAGGGACACTCCTCTCTAAACCAAAAGAATAGATAAAGGAGTGTAGATCCTCTCAAAAGACCTCCCGTTGCATTCCCTTCATAAAGTCCACATAACACAAAGCTGCCTTTTCCCAAGTCTTTCTTTCTCATCAGAGACCAACAAGAACCTCAGGCTGATGAAAGCTCATTGACAGAAGTTGGCATTTGTTTCTGGATAATTTAATTATTGAACGGCCTTAGTTGTTTGAAGCTGTTGAACTTGTTACCTCATTGTTTAGTTGGCAAGCACCATTAGAAGTCTCTACTTATCTGAGGTTGTGAATCCAAGTAGGGGTCATTCAGTTCTTGACAATTTAAATCATATTTGCATGAATTGCTTGTTTTCTACCCAAGTCATCGTCAAATCCAAATTATGTTTGTAATTTCTCCCAATTTTACTAGCCAATGTGCTGAGTGTAACTGTGTTGCTGATGTATAATTAAATGAAGTACTTAATATACAAGAAACAATTAAATAAAAATTATTAGGAAAAATGATTTTGTAGCCAGTGGGAAGAATGATTTCTGTGCAGTAATGGATGGTAGTGTCGAATCTGAATCTCATTTGGAGTCCAGTGCTGTAGTTGTTGAGACACTCTATTCGGTTCCCACATAAGGTGTGGTAATGAATAGGGCAAAAACTGAAGTAAGCAAACAGAAGAAATTATTTTCGCAAGATACTCAGCATGTCTTTCCACCCAAAAATCCAATGATATCTCGAATTCGAAGCAATAGTACTGGTCATAATAATCAATTTGGATCCGTCTCTACTTCAAAGAAAAAAGCACCACATATTGGTAACAAAAAGTCAAAATATGGTGATGGAAGGCAAGTTGATGCAAGACGCGTTGCCCAACTATTTCCGTCAAAGGTAGCACAAGAGGAAATCATCAAATGTGAGGTACAAGCTGTATACTCTCCCAGCTATGGCAGTGTACTTAAACTTTACATTTCTTGGCTTTTATGTTCACTTTTCAATCCATTTCTCTATTAAGTGATATATGCTATAAATTCAGGGTTAGGCTTGTGAATGTATATCTGCATATGTTACTCTTTTGGGCAAGTAATTGGAATTAAGGGAAGAATTACATATACACATTGTCATTATCTATTGATATTGTGGATGGTTTATTATAATTATTCAAGGCGTTACACCTCAAACCTTTCACCATACAGATAATGTCTCAAAATCTTCAAAGCAAAAATCACAACTGTTAACTCTACGTCACGAGTAGGGTAGTTTTTCTCGTGTGTTTTCAACTTCCATGAGCCATAAGCTATTACCTTCCAGGGACGCATCACGATACACAGAATAACCCAAACCCCTCTTTAGGATAATCAACACTGGAGCAGTGGTAAGTCTAACCTTAAGCTCTTGAAATGATTTCTTACAAGTCATATCCCACACAAACTTACTTTCCTTCCTCGTCAATCTAGTCAACGGTGAGGCTAATCTAGATAAATCCTTCACAAAACGACAGTAATACCTAGCTAACCCCAAGAAACTCCAGATCTCAAAGGCATTCTTAGGTTGTTCCCAATCTTGCACTGCTTCAATCTTAGAAGAATTTATAGTCACCCCTTCCCCAGATACCACATGGCCTAAGAATTTCACCTCCTTCAACCAGAACTCACACTTTCCGAACTTAGCATACAACTTGTGGGCTCTAAGTAACTCAAGCATGACCCGCAAGTGTTCTCCATGCTTCTTCTCAGTGGGTGAGTAAATCAAAATGTCGTCAATGAAGACAACCACAAAACGGTCTAGGAACTCACGAAAGATTCGATTCATCAAATCTGTAAACAAGGCCGGTGCATTAGTTAACCTAAAAGGCATCACTAGGAACTCATAATGGCTATACCGCGTACGAAATGCCGTCTTTTAGATATCCTCCTCCTTCACTCTTAATTGGTGATAACCCGATCTTAGGTCTATCTATATGAGGCAATAGGTACTTGTTCTTAACAGTCACCCGGTCCAACTTCCAGTAATCAATACAAAGTCATAATGTGCCATCTTTCTTCTTAGAAAAGAGAGTCGGTGCTCCCCAAGGTGAAGTACTAGAGCAGATAAAGCCCTTATCTAGCAATTCTTGGAGTTAAATCTTCAACTCACTCAACTCGACGGGTGCGAATCTATACGGTGCCATAAAGATCGGTGTCATACCAGGCACTAAGTCAATAGAGAACTCAATCTCATGGTGAGGTGGTAAACTAGTGAGATCTTCAGGAAAGACATCCGGGTATTCGTAAACTACCCTCGGTAACTCAACTTAGACCACATCGCTCTCAACACTCAAGAATGTAGCGAGCAGGAGACTAAGCTTGCCTCAGCCACGCGGATCACACACTGGCAATAAGGCCTTATCAACTTGGTCCCCTAGGAAATAAAAATAGTCACCACTCGAGGTGCACACCGTAACTCTCTGACAGTAACAATCTATAATGGCCCGATAGGATGACAACCAATCCATGCCCAAAATAACATCGAAACTCAACATATCAATCAACACAAAAGCAAAAGGAAGTCGGCAATCGACAACTTCTATTTCACAACCCTGACACCCCTGATCCAACACAACCCCACCACCCATAGGTGACTTTACCCCTAGTGAAGATGTTAACCGAGCCACTTCTAACCCCAATGTTGATGCGAATACAGACGAAATAAAAGAATGGGATGTATCGGTATCAATTAATACATTGACAATATAATTACATAACAAGAAGTTACCTCTCACTACAAAAGGTGTTGGCAACAAATCTAGCGTGGTAGTAGCATACACATGCCCCGTGGGTCTCTGCTCTACCTGCTCACCCCTCGAAGCATAAGTCTGATACATTGATTAAGCCAAAGAGGCTCCCTGATTGGCCCTCGATGCCTATGCTGATACTGTAGGTTGATGGCTCTGTGTCTACCTTGAACCAGACGCCTAAGATGTGCCACCTACCTGAGGGCAAAACCTCCCCAGATGCCCTGACTGCCCACACTGATAACAAATAGGCTGTTGCTCTCTCCCCTGACTCTGACCTTGAGAACAAGCCGAAGACGGTGTAGACTATTGCCCTCTTCCCTTCTGCGGGCAAACTACAGACTTATGGCCCAACTGACCACACTTGAAGCAAGTGATCCTTCCTTGACCACCTCTTCCAGAACCAGAACTCGGTACCAGGAAAGTGGACCTAGACTATGGTTCCTGGGACTACTATGGGTTGGAACCCCTCTACCTCTTACTATCCCGAGTCTCCCTCTGAACCTCTTGGTTCCTCTATCTAGAGCCCTTCATCTTCTCCTCTTCGGTGTGAATCATGGTCTCTAAGTGAGCTACCACCTCCATAAGATGACCGTATTCCCTAATCATGGATGCGGCCACCTTGAAAAGGAGTCTGGTCCTCAACCTTTTCTTGAACTCCAAACAACGACGTTCCTCCATCGTTACAAGCTCCGGTGCAAACCTCGATAGACTAGTAAAGGTAGCCTCAAACTTGGCCACTGGTATGTTGAGTTGCTTGAGCTTCAAGAACTGCTCCCTCAACTTCTCCCTAACAGTAGGTGGCAAAAACTTGTCCTGGAAGGCATTGACAAAAGCCTCCTAAGTCCCCCCAATCCACCTTTATACAAACTTTCACCAATGACCCGCATCTCTCTTTAGCTGGAAGGATGCCAAGGTCACTCTCAACCCATCATCCTTAATACCAAGCATCTTGAACGTCTTCACCATCTGCTCTAGCTACTCATCTGCCTTTAGTAGCTCTTTCGGATCCCCCACAAACTTATCCGAATTCGACCGGAAGAACTCCCTCTTCAAAAACGATGGCCTTATCTCAACAACATGGGCTTGGACTTGATTCTCAGCTCTAAGAATATCCATAGATTCCCGCAAAGCTCCGACCATCTCATGAGCTAAAGCAGTAATGCCCCAACCCTTCATATGTCATAGATATTGTCCGCTTTGGCCTACGCCCGCACGGATTTGTTCTTCCCAGTGGATCAGCCATCCCAAAACTACTCTAGCCTAAACATGCTTTAACTAGGGAGTTCTGCTAGGGATTTCACCACCCTAGAAAAGGCCTTGACACTATATAAGGGTCCAGGTTTTTACTTTTATAGCTCAGGAACTCCCCCTCTATTCCCGATGTAGGACACCGGGACCTTATAACCCACCCCCCTTAGGGCTGCACGTCCCCGTATAGTAGCCTACTAGCTCACAAGCCCACCCACATGCATCGAGAGACGTCAGGGGCCCATACTCGATACTCCGGAGAGTTGGCTCTGATATCATTTGTAACGCCCCAACCCTTCACATGTCATCGATATTGTCTGCTTTAGGCTATGCCCGCACGGAGTTGTTCTTTCCAGTGGGTCACGCATCCTAGAACTACTCTAGCCTAAGCACGCTTTAACTAGGGATTTCTGCTAGGGATTTCACCACCCTGGAAAAGGCCTCGATGATATATAAAGGTCTAGGTTTTTACTTTTATAGCCCAAGAACTCTCCCTTCATTCCCGATATAGGACACCAGGACCTTATAAAATCACCCATGGCCTGTTAACCAACCGGTTCGGCCACATAAGGCTGAGCAACCCCTTTCTCCTGCATCAGAATATCATTCGGTAATGGTACTTCTTGCCGTCTAGGGCTGCCACGCCTACCACCACCATGTCCACATCCTAACATCCTAATGAAGGTAACACAAGAGATTAGCCCATTTACAAATGTGCCTAAGCTAACTCACTCGCATCCTAAAGCAGTGAACAACAATTAATTCACCCAATATAAGCACTTAGTTACGTAAACACATATGAATTTCCTTTCTAGATAATGATTGTCCTGCGACGTTGCCAGAGTTCCAGCCAGAAATGGCAATGATCAAGTACTCTTCTAACAAGACTTCTA